TCCTCATACGGATTTAAATGGTAACATTTTCTGTTACATGTTATGTCTTTTCGTGAAGTGCATGATTCTGAACTTTTGAGAATATGCATATAACAAATTGGATAGAATCATCGAATGGAAGCCTGTCAGCGGGAGGATGGCAATTCTCTGACTGAAGCTACAACAGGCAAAACGCTAACCTTGTCCCTTGTTACAGCTTTCTGAGCCCTTTGCGGAGGGACAAAATGACTGCTTCCGAATTCTAATGGTCGATTTTAATGCCCACGTGGGAGTAGACCCTAAAAGTGGATATGCATGATTGGTAAGAACGTCCCTAGCAACCTCACGAAGTAGCTACTGGCTATTTTGTGCAAACAACGGACTGTCTATTATAAACTCCTACCCCGAGCATGGAAGCGTGCATCAATATAACTGGTACAGAGAAACTTGCGAAAAGAAGTCGATGACGGATTTGACAATCAAATAGTCCGACTTACGACGCTGTGCAATGGACGGTCGCGTAAAAAGACGCGCATAAGTCTTAACTGATCACCACCTTGTGGTTGACACACTAAGCTGTAAGAAATAGAGTACCATACGAACATCTGGTGAGAGAATCAAACGGGAAACTTTATTTTGGGTGGACAAGAGAGCGAAATTTGCTAACAACATTACACGATGGTTTGAATAGATCCCAATATTGACCTCTGATGTGGAAACCGAAATAGAGCTTTTAAGAGCGGCATACTCGAGGCTGCAGCCGAATGTTGCGGATATAAACGGGTTGGCCTGCAGCCTGGAGGTCAGAAAAGATCTTCATGGTGGACACGAGAGGCACGACTGGCAGTTAAAGAGAAGAAAGCAGCGTTCAAGAAATGGCTTGGAAACAAGGAGCCATTTACTCGCGTGCGATATGTCGAGGCACACAAGGCGGCAGTCAAAGCAATGGCAAAAATCAAAGCTGATTCTTGGGAGAAGTTCGGTGAGGTGTTCGAGTCGAATTTCCACACGGCAAACAAAGTATTCTGGCAGACCATCCGCCGGCTCCGAGGAGAAAAGATGGGCAGTCTCAGAATCTTGAAGGACAGATCTGGGCATCCTCTTACCAAGGATGATGACATTCTTCGACGATGGAGGGAGTG